TCTCCTGGCTTCAACGGGTGTATTTGTGCATAACAGGGGTGCTGTCTAGAGGGACCAACCATCCCGGTTTGCCTGGGACTGAGGGACATAGGGCTTTTGGTGCTTGTCTTAATGGAACCTGGGTGAGGTGGTCACCCCAGCGCTATTATTCATTTCAAAGGGCACCGGGGAGGACAAAAAGAACTTGCTTAGTGCTTAGCAATTATGCACGAGTTATTCCTGGAACCGAACTGAAATGGAAAGTACCTGTGGGTGGAAATTTTAGCTGATGGATTTATAAAAATCAGCTCTGCCTGAGGAGGGAGGAGGAAGCCCTGATCGCATCCCTACTTCTGGCCTGGGATGGGCACCACAACATTCCCTCTCTGTGGGTTAGAGTCCTGTGTATGGATGGCAGGGAAGCACTAGAAGGTTCCCCTGGGGGCACTTTCAGCACTGCCATGGCTCTGAGCACTTTAGTCCGAGGTCTAAACATGGGAGGTGTATTTACAGAGCTTCTCAGTGACTTGATGGCAAGTGTTCTGAGCCTTCAAGCTCAGCTGTCTGCCTTTGTTTCTTCCCCTGTGAGAGATGGCAGCCCCTACCTTGCAAGGTTGGAGGAGAGGCAGCTTTCCGTCCTCGAAAAGCTTACAGTTCCTGCCAGAGGTCTCAAAACAGGGCTCAAGGAGCTGTCTCGTTAGCCTGACAGCATTTTAGAAGATGTCCAAACCGCAAGCAAGACGTCTTTCAGTAGGTGAATAACTAACTATGGTGCATACATACCATGGGGTATTACTCAGCGATGAAAAGAAATGAGCTTTTAAGCCACGAGAAGACATGGAAGAACCTTAAATGCATACTGCTAAGTGAAAGAGGCCAGTCTGAAAGGGCTACACACTGTATGATTCCAATTCTATGATATTCTGCAAAAGGCAAAACTCTGGAGATGGTAAAAAGATCGGAGGTTGTCAGGGGTTTGGGGGTGGGGGCAGGATGCTCACGTGGAGCTAGGGGGATTTTTAGGTTAGTGAAACTATCTGTATGATACTGTAATGGTGGATACATGTTATACATTTGGCAAAATCCACAAAATGTACAACACAAAGTAACCCTAATGTAATAAACTCTAGCCTTTGGCTGATAACATGTGATAGTGATAATGTAATAATAATGATACAGGCTCCTTGATTATAACAAATGTAACTCTCTGTGCAGAATGTAGATGGTGGGGAGGTCAGAGAGTACACAAAAACTACTTGCAGCATTATTTTGCTGTGGATCTAAGACTGCTAGACTAGAAAATAGCCTATTAATCTCTTAAAAATAAAAAAATGTTAATTATTTTTATTTTTAAAAAATTTATATTTTTTAAACGAATTAAAAAAAAATGTTTGACAGCCAACATATACACACAGGGAACTGCAAATCACATTTCCAGCTTCCCTTGAAAAATCACTCTGGTGGTTCTTGCCCCAACCAGGTGAAGATGTGCATGGTTGTATCTCACCGGGGGACAGTCCCCACCTGGCTGGCTTACTGCTTCCCGTACATCACCTACCTGGCCATTGAAAGCATTAGAGTTTGAGACTCAGTCTAGATCACTGGTTCTCAACTGGGGGCAACTACATCTGGGGACATTTCTGGTTGTCACAACTGGGGTGTGCTACCAGCATCTAGGGGGTTGAGCCAGGGATGCTGTGAAATATCCCAAAATGCACGTGATGGCCCCCACCACAGAGAATGATCCGCCCTCACTGTCACTTGTGCAGAGATTGGGCAACACTGGTGCACAGAACTGATTCTCATCTGGGGAACTTAAAAAAAAAAAAATACTGACACTGGTACCGCGCACAGCGATTCTGAGTTAAATGGAGGGGTGCTGCAGTAGGAAGAGGAGTCTGAAAAGCTCTCCAGGTGAGTCTAATGTGGAAGTATATTTGAGAACCACTGGTCTGGAAGGTTCTTGGGATATCCAGGACTGTTATTCATTCATTCATTCAATCAATCATGCAGCTGACATCCATTGCTTTCTCTTCTTGCACAGAGCTGGGGGTCCTGGAGGTGAGCCAGACCTTCTCCTCCCTGCCCTATTAAGGAGCTCCAGGTCTAATAAGGAGCTCCTGCCTCTTTTAGTCCAAGGCTTCTTAAATGTTATGCAGATTCTGGTTCAGCGAGTCTTGGGGTGGGGGTGGGGGGCTGGCATTCTGCATTTCTTAACCAGCTAGCTCCCAGGGGCCATAGATGCTGTTAACCTGAGGACCACACTCAGAGCTCTGTCCTCATTCAGGATTCTCATGAAAGCCTGACCCAGAAAATGCCTGCGTCCCAGGAAACACATCTTCCCACGGCCTTACAAATAATTGCAAAACCTTTCCCAAGTGCCTTAGACCCTACTATTGACAAAGTTCTCAATACATCTTTACAATAGTCCCGCAGAAGAGTTCGGGATTATGTTCCGACAAGCGTTATCTCACAGATGAGTGAGCCGAAGCTCACGGAGGCGCGGTAACCAGCCTGGTGTTCAGTGGTAGAGGCAGAGCTGACTCCTAATTCAGAGATTTTTCCTAAAAAGCCAGCTTGGCTGTCAGTTCCACAGGTGTGCTACCTGTGCTGCTGCCCAGGACCCTGTGTTCAGAAGGGCCCCACATTCAGTTTAGCGCTCTGTTGTCACCATCTTGAAATTCTGACTTTAAATCTTTTTTTTTTTTTCTGAGAGAGAGAGAGAAAGAGCACAAGAAGGGGGGGGGCAGGTAGAAGAAGAGGGAGAAGCAGGCTCCCACAGAGCAGGGGGAGCCCGATGCGGGACTCAATCCCAGGACCCCAGGATCATGACCTGAGCTGAAGGCAGTTGCTTAACCGACTGAGCCACCCAGGCGCCTGAAATTCTGACTTTCTGAGTGAGGGGCCCTGCAGATTCTGTAGCTGGTCCTGCAGTTAGCACAGGTTCTGAGAAGAAACCTTTGTAGAGACTCAGCAGGAACACCAAACTAGGTGGCGCGGGGGGGGGGAGGGGGGCTAATAGCTAAGTCCTACTTCTCCCTTTTCTAAAGGGAAGCAAGTACCTCAGAGCAATCGGAGTGAGTCTTGGGGTCTGGCAGACCTGGGTTTGAATCCCAAGGCTGTCATCTACCAGCCATGGGACCACAGGCTCGTTGCATATGTAAATTAGCTTAGCCACTATTTCCTATTTCCCCAGTTACAAATGGAGGGGGTTTGAACTGGGCAGGGGTTTCTCAATCTTGACAGCATGCAGCAATCACTGGGGAGGGGAGCTTGAAACATGAGCATGCAGGGAGGGCCCTATCCCAGATATTCTGATTCAATTTGTCTGGAGTGGAGATGAGATGGGGGTTTAAGAGCCCCCAGGAGCCCCTAATAAGCAGCTGGGGTTATGAACCACTGAAACTTCCCCACCTTCAGGAATCTTCAGGCACCTTCAGGCTCCAGTACCTCTAATTCAGATGATTTATTTACTCTGGTAGAAATTTCTAGACCCCTCCTGCATGCTCCCAGCCAGCCTGAAGACCTCTTTCCTCCAGACACTTGTGTTCTATATCCCTACGAGGCTCCAGCCCTCCAGTTTTAGATTTCTCAAGGTATGCTAGTTCTGTACTTGCCCAGGGAACTGGCCTGAGCCACCAAAAATTCCTCCTGAACAGGAAATGCAGTCCTGTACTCATGCTAAGACAATACAAAGCTTATTTTGCTTTGCAAAGTAACTGATCTGCAGAATAGCTTTTAAAGAATAGGCTCTGGCTTGTGGACGGGCAAAAATAAAATGGAACAAAAACACTTGGCAAGCAGAATATGATCCTATTTGCATAAAATCGTGCTTTACCATCTCTAACTACAGGGTTATAAACGCATAGGAGAGGTCTGGAAGGGTCGGCAATACGTCAACTGTAATGATCTCTTTTCCTTTCCATTTCTTTTAAAAACACAGAAGCACCTATTTTTATAATCTGAAAAAAAAAAAAAGGTATTTCAGTCCTGAGAGGAGAATATAGAGGTAATTTACATCTAAGTGGGAGAACCGTCACAAAGTTTCCGGATGATCGATCCCTTTTCTAAAGCTAAATTCTCTAGTCCCTTTCGTTTACTGGTATGCTATAATAGTTAAAACGCTAGGAGATGAACAAGAAACATTCAGTGAGCCTTATCTAAAAATAGACCACAGTCTAAGGAGGCTATTTACCATCATCTAAAAAAAAAAAATGCTTAAAAAAAAACAAGAAGCAGAGTCTTTCTTCCCTTCTGCGATTCTCCGCGGGGGTCTGAAGCTGGCGGGGTAGGCTAACCCCAAATCACCCCGCCCTAGGGCAGATTCTGCTCAGTAAGTGGAAAGGATCCGCGCCACGGCTGGAAGAATTCCCGCCGGGCGCGGGAGACCCAGCTTCGCTCGGCTGGAGGAGGAGGAGGGGAGACTGCCCGAGGGCCGCAGAGGAGGGGGGCACCGGTGTCACTTTCTCTGAACCGGATTACTGCCCCCAGCACGGCCGGCCCTTATATAGACACTCAACAGCCGCTCCGGCACCGCGCGCCAAGGGCAAGGAGGGAGGTCACGGATGCGGGCGGCCAGGACATCTGGACTGACCCGCAGCACCGACCCCCGCCTGCGCCCTCACCACGACCTATGCCGCTGGCCCAAGTTCATGCGACCCTGCCGGGAACCCTGACTTCTCTCCCAGCCTCCTCCCCAACACCTGCTCCCCCTCCTCCCCAACACCTGCCCCCCCTCCTCTATACAGTCGCATTCCTCTCCTGCCTTCCAGCTGCATCTGCTCCCCCTCCCCCAGCCCCACCATCCCGGGGGCTTCTCTCCTTGCCCTCCCTCGTGTCTTCCCCCCTGCCCACTCCATGTGGAAGAACCGCACGATCCCGGCACCTGCTGCTCCCCCGAACCAGTCCCTAGGACTGTGCCCCCCTCATGATCCAGGGCTTCCCCCGCCTTGCGACCCGCAGGTTTACCTCCACCCCCGCCCCGCGATGCCAGCCCCCGCGGGCTGCTGGCTCTGGCTCACCTGGCTCATACTTGAGGTAGAGAATGGAGACGATGAAGTAGCTGAGGTCGAAGACGGGGAAGAGCGGTACCCGCGAGAAGCTGAGCGCCAGGTCGCCTAGGCTCAGCGCCGAGAGCAGCTCCATGGCGCCCGCCGGGTCCCACCCCAGCCCCCGGCCCACTAAGTCCTGCAGCCCGCGGCCCGGCTACTGCGCCCCCGCCGCAGGACCCGCCCCCGCCCGCCAGGCACCGCCCCCAACCCGGCCCCCGCGGGAGAGGAGGGACGACCGCCGGCCCGGGGCGCGTCGTGGGGCCGTCCTGTCCCATAAAGCCCAGCAGGTGTCCCATACTCCGTCCCTCGGGCCATCAAGACCCCCTTCAGCCCAGCGAGGCAGGCTGTAGGGGTCCCTGTGGTGTGAGTTGGACAGGGTAGCTGTCCATTGGGGGCGTCCTTCCTGCATGGAGCTCACCCAGAAGGGACGGGTCAGTTAGTACCCTGTCCCGGTGGGACTCAATTAGTCCTCTGGAGCCCTTGGATCGGGACCTGCATTCTCTGTGGGTCTTGACCAGTTGTGAACCCCATCTTCCCGTGCCCTAGAGGGTCAAGAACCCCGTCCTCTATGGAGCTGTCATGACCCTAGTCCTCTGTGGGGTTCCGTAAGTCAGGACCTCCATTCCCCACCTCCGAAGGGACAGCTCGGTCGGACCTCCGCCCCACCCCCCGTAGCTCCAGCCCAGTGGGGATCCCTGCCTTCCATTGGGCCCAGGAGGAACCTCCTCCCCGCGGGAATCCATGCCCGGGAGAGCCCACTGCATCAGGGCCTATTCCCCTGTGCAGCTCAGTGGTCAGGGAGCCAGGTTTCTTCGGAAGCTGCGTGGGAGACCTGAGCCCAGAAGGAAAACCTACGGCGCTAATTCTCCAGCACGTAGGGGCCTCACGCCTGCGCGGCACGCCTCCAGTGCGTAATCCAATCTCACCCCGGATGACTCCGCTCCTGGGTGACGTCACACTCTCGCCCCGCCCTTTCTTCGCTACCCTCCGGGCCTCCCCAGCGAGAAGGGGCGCTCGCTCTTCCCTAAAGGGGCCTGGCCTGCAGAGGGAGGGACCCTGCCTGCCTTGGCCTTCGGTTGGACCAGCCCTCGCCAGCGCGGCTTCAAGATTGGCCGGCTCATGCTCTTCTCTCCTCCCCCTCCGGGACTTCCGCTTCCGGTTCTGACGGACGTTTCGGCCGTAACGATGATCGGGGACATCCTGCTGTTTGGGTAATTAGGGGGGCCAGAGGCTGGGGTAAGAAGGGTGAGAGGGATGTGGGGCGGCCCAGGTAACCTCATTCTCCCTTCGCAGGACGCTGCTGATGAACGCAGGGGCAGTACTCAACTTTAAGCTGTGAGTAGGCCGCTTTGAATCGCGGCTCCACCCAGGGGGCCCGTAGGCGCGCCCCCGCGAGCGTGAGCCCGCCCCACGCCGTAGGCCACGCCCCTATGCCCCAGCCCTCCCTCTGGCCACGCCTCCAGTCTGGTCCATCCTTCTGTGACCCTTCGCTCCCAGGTGGTTTGAAATACAGACTGCCGTTTCCCGGGGTTCTCTCTTCTCGCATCCCGGAGAGCCTCTGGCCCGTCCCCCACAAAATTCTTAGCCCTATTCTGTACCCACGGACCAATCTCTCCCCTTGGCGGCTGCAGGCCTGTGATTGGCAGGTAGATGATGGCCCAGAAAGGGGCATTGAACCACCCGAGGTCACACAGCAACTCACCTGCAAGGCTAGAGCTGAAACTGAGTGTCCGAGGCCCTTTGAGCTGGTGGTCAGGGCCGGGGGATCGAGTGGTCTTTATGTCCCACCAAAAGTGGACGTTGTCTGTTCCTCTTTGTAGGAAAAAGAAGGACACGCAGGGCTTTGGGGAAGAGTCAAGGGAGCCCAGCACAGGTAAGCCTCCTTTCTGGAGTCTGAAATTGGTCCATTTCAGAGAGGACAATTTTTTCTCACCAAGCCCTACCTTAGTTTTCTTTTCAGCATTTGTGTGTGTGTGTGTGTGTGAGATTGTGATTGTGAGAGGGAGGGAGGGAGAGATGGGCCTGAAGATTTTTTGTTCCTTCTGCTCACCTCTGTCACCCTCTTCTTTCTCCGGGTCAAACCTCCCGAGTATGTCACCACTCATAAAACTTCCTACAGTCATGATTGTCCTTTATGAATGTTATCCTCTGGCAAGTATTCGTCCCTCATACTTGCTCTTGCTTGTTTTGGCCCATTTCTGTGCCTTTGTGCTGCCCGTCCTCCAGCATGAATGAATGAATGAACAAGTAGCCATCGCTTTCAGAGTGTTGCAGACGTATTTTAATTAGATGCCAACATTAGCTTTCAAATAAATCAGATGTCACATAAAAATTCAGACGTCTGCTTTATCAAGAAAAATCTGAACATCCTACAGCTCAGGGTTCAAGCAACCTCTTGGCACCTACTGGATGAAATTGAGAAAAACAGGACCCCATTGAGTCAGGGCCTGTGGCCTCTGCCTCATTCCAGCCCCAACCCCCTTATCTTTATATCATCTCACCTGTCCTGGGGGCCCTGGAATTTATTCATCTGACTATTTGAAACCTAATGGGACCTATACATGACTTCAATGTCCATGCATCATTCACCAAGCATTTATTGAGCACCTGCCACATGGCGGCCACTGTCCTGGATGCTGGGGACACAGCAGAGAACAAGACAGATGAAATTCCTACCTTGTGGGTTGTACTGCTCTGGGGTGGGACAAGCAGTTCCTAAAAAAGGAACAAATGGTGACGGAGGTGATGAGAGGTGAGGAGAGGGATGGGGTTGCTGCTCCAGCTGCAGTGTATGGAGGGAAGGACCCTTGAGCCGGTGGTGTTGGCAGCCAAGGTGGTGGGTGCCATGATGGAGTGTTGCATGGGAATGATAGGAACACCGAGGAGCAGTGAATTTAGTGATGATCGGACCACTCCCTTTTATTGGGGGTCCATCTGGTAGTGGCTGCTTTGTTAGGTGCTTCCTGTGGGTGTGTTACTCTGCCTCCATCCCTGAAAGGTAAAGGGCATTTTCCCATTTTACAGACAAGGAAACTGAGGTTCACGGCGTGGCTTGACTTGCTTGTGGCCACGTAGGAAATCAGTGACAGCATCCTGATTGAACCTGAGTTTTTCTGATTCCACAGGCTGTCCGCTCAGTCACTAAACCATCCATCCATTCATTCTTTCGTTCATATGTTCATTCAGCAGCTGTATGTATCACTTACCCACTCTGTGGAAGGTACTATATCAACTCCTGGGGCTTGTAGTCTAGAGATCTAGATTGGAGCTGTTGGGGGGTGTGGGGGGAGAGTAGAAGGGCTTGGTAGCAGTGAGAGTCAGTCAGTGACAAGGACAGTCACAACAGTGGCTTCCCTCCGACCAGGGGCTCTCTGCACGTCTCCTTCCAGCCAGTATTCTGTGCTTACTGCTGCCACTGCAGAGAATGCCCCTCTCCCTGTGCCCGGCTGACCCCTCATACCGCAGTGGCTGCATCTGTTGAGAGCCGTCTGTGTACCAGGCACTGCTGAGGTCTTCCTAGTCACTGTCACCCCCATTTACACAGGAGGAAACTGGGGCATATGTAGGCCGGCGACTGAGCAAGGTCACCTGTGTGGAAGGGCAGTAAACTCCTGCCCATGTTTAAGGTCGGAGCTTATGTGCTTCCTAGAAGCTTTCCGACCCCCGCTTTCTGACCCCTGCTCCCTGACAAGGGCTATGTTGGCATCCCCCCATTGTGTGCTCCCATGGCACCGGCCATGGTGAATAATCAGGTGTGTGATTACTTGTTTAGTATTTGTCCTATGTGTGAGCTTCTTAGGGCAGGGATATCTGTCTTGGTCCTCCCTCTATCCCCTGCACTTGGCTGTTGCCTGGAACAAGTGGCCTTCACTTAGCATCTGTTGATGGCAGGAAAGCCTGTTTTTGTGATGCTGGGCCCGGAGAAGGGCCTCGTCAAGCAGCGCCTCTCAGACATCCTGGGGCTGGACCCATGTTTGACATTTGCAGTCTGGGCTGGGCTGCACGTGGCTCTCCCAGTGGGTTGGATGATACCAGACTCGTCTCAACTGTGTTCAGCAAGACTGTGTGTGCTCATTATGTCCCTGGATGGTGCAGTGGTGCCAGGTGTAACTTTCTGAGCTCCTGCCTGGTATTCTGTACTTATGGAACAGCCCTGGTCTATAGATGACGCTTTGGGTAGCACCCTTGTAGATTACCCCATGTGGACCCATTCATTCCATTCTGGAGGATTAGAGAGGTGAGCAACTTAAAACCCTGGAGGAAGGTTCTGGAACCCATACCTCTGGAGTCTTAACATACCAAGTTGCTTCCTCTTGGAACGGGTTCTGTTCTGCGGCATTGGGGGACTAGAGTAAGTCACCATCAAAGCAGAACCCCGTTTTTACTTGCCTGAATTAGTATGCTTTTTCAGGTGCCAACATTGAAAATCCAGCCCAAAGTGGTTGGAACAAATGGAAACCTCCAAGGGTGGAACTGTTTTGGGGCACACCCAGCCTCAGGGCTCAAACCAGCCCTCCTGTGTGTGACCCTCTCCAGCTCTCTTTTTCCTTCTAGGTTAGTTTTACTGTCAGGCTGGCTTGTGTTGACAAAAGATGACCCTAGAACAGGGCTGGGCCCAGTGTTCTGTAAAGTGTCAGATCGTAAACATTTTTGGCTTTGTGGGTCATACATTGCCTGGTGCAGCATGTCCGCTCTGTTCCTTGAAAGCAGTCGTGGGAAATACAGGCATACCTTGTTTTATTGTGCTTCTTTACTGTGCTTTGCAGATACTGTTATTTTTACAAACTGAAGGTTTCTGGCAACCCTGTGCGAGCAGGTCTGGGGGACCATTTTTCCAACAGCGCTTGCCCACTTCGTGTCTCTCTGTCACATTTTGGTAATTCTCTCAGTTTTTCAAACTTTTTCATTGTTGTTGTATTTGTTCTGCTGATCTGTGATCAGTGATTACGACATGCTGAAAGCCCAGATGATGGTTAGTGTTTGTTAGTGATATATACGTATTTGTTTAAGATTTTATTTATTTGACAGACACAGCGAGAGAGGGAACACAAGCAGGGGGAATGGGAGAGGGAGAAGCAGGCTCCCTGCTGAGCAGGGAGCCCAATGCGGGGCTCGATCCCAGGACCCTGGGACCATGACCTGAGCCGAAGGCAGACACTTAACGACTGAGCCACCCAGGTGCCCCGTTAGTGATATTTTTATAATTCATGTATTGACGTTATTTTTTAGACATAATGCTAGCACACGCTTAATAGACTATAGTATAGTGTAAACATAACTTTTATAGGCAATGGGAGACCAAAACATTCATTTGACTTGCTTTATTGCAGTAGTCTGGAACCGAACCCACAATATTTCCAAGGTATGCCTGTATATAAATGAGTGGGCATGGGTGTATTTTGATAAAACTTTATTCATAGACACTGAAACGTGAATTTCATGTAATTTCTGTGTCTCGCAAGATACTCTGTTGATTTTCTTTTTAACTATTAAAAAGTCTTAAAGGCATTCTTAGCTTATGGGCCATACAGAAACAGGTGGTAGGGGCTGACTTTCGCCCATGGGCCATAGCTTGCCAACTCCTTCCCTAAAGGACTGGGTTTACGTCTTCCTAGCCCAGAAAGGCTGACAGAAAGCAAGTGCCTCTTTCCCAGTAGTTGGGATGAAAGTCCCAGGGCCTGACTCTCACTGGGCAGACTGACCAAAGTCCCAGGGCTGACTCTCATTGGGCAGACTTGGGTCACGTGCCCCTCCCATGCCTCCAGTCAGAGGCTGAGGGCTTTGAGGGGTTGGTCAGTGGCAGCTACTGCCAGAGTGCCAAGGGTCGAGCAGCAGAGGCGACCCACAGGAAAAGCCATGCTGCCCTCGGAACGTGGGGCGGTGGGATTGGGGCGGGTGGCAAACTGCAGAAGTGCACTGGTGCCGCGACAACAGAAATGTCAGCAGTGCTTGTAAAAACGCGTTCTGACTTTCCAGGTGACAACATCCGGGAGTTCTTACTGAGCCTCAGATACTTCCGGATCTTCATCGCCCTGTGGAATGTCTTCATGATGTTCTGCATGATCGTGTAAGTCCGGCCTGCCTGTCCCCTTCACTGTCTAGAATGACCCACCGGATGCTCACCCTCTGTTGTCTCTCTGCGCTTCCGTGACACGCTTTCCGCTTTCCCAAGCTAGAGAGGGAAGCAGGGTCTACAAAGGTTAAACTGTGTCACTGTGGTCTAGGCTGGAGCTTTGACTGGGACACGGTGTTCCCAGAGTCCTGGCTGTTCCTGGTGCCATAGCAGAGGCTGCCAAGACATGCCTTCCCTCGAGCCCATGGCCCTGTTAACCCTGTTGCCTGCTCTGCCCTTTTTAGCCTGTACTCGATGTCTGCCAGGGTGGACAGTGTGGCTTAATTGGCAGCGTGCTGCCGAGCCCTGCTCCTGTCCTGCCGGTAGCCCTCAGAAGTATATTCAGACTTCTTTCTGTTCTCATGCCTATTTTTCATTTCCTCATTAGGCTTAAAAAAACCTAAATGGGTTGGTTTTCCTTCCGGCATTGGGGGCCTTAATTTTGTTTTTTTTTCTTTAAGATTTTATTTATTTGTCAGAGAGAGAGAGCGAGAGCAGGAACACAAGCAGGGGGAGTGAGAGAGGGAGAAGCAGGCTTCCCGCCGCGCAAGGAGCGGGGCCTTAATTTTTTTTTTTTTAAAGATTTTATTTATTGGACAGAAAGAGACACAGCGAGAGAGGGAACACAAGCAGGGGGAGTGGGAGAGGGAGAAGCAGGTCCCCCACGGAGCAGGGAGCTGGATGCGGGGCTCGATCCCAGGACCCTGGGATCATGACCTGAGCCAAGGCAGACGCTTAACGACTGAGCCACCCAGGCGCCCCAGGGCCTTAATTTTGATGCCGCTGCTGATGAATTGTGAGACTCATTAGTAAACAGGCTCAGGAAAAAAACCGTAGGAGAATCTGGTGTGCTATCATCTGGGCTAATCCCGCTGGGCTGGTCCCATTCTTCCCCCTAAAGGGGAAGAGAATGAAAAGTCGGCTCTCCTGAGTAATTGGGCTGCTGCTTTTGGGGTTGCTGGGTGGTCCTTGTGCCAGCCCCATGGCTGTATGAGGGGATGATTCCAGGACTTAGGGGATGGGGGGAGGAGGAGTTTCACTGTGCCATTGGAAAGTGTATAATATTCCAGAATGAGGACCGTGATGTGCGCCCAGAGAAGCCCTTTTTGGGAGCTTGGATGAGGCCTGTGCAGGTACAAAGAGGGCTGGTGCAGAGATCAGGGAGTTTGCAGAAGAGGAGAGGGAATGTAACTAGGATTCACAGGAAGTAGAACAGCGTTGGTCTTTCCAGGTCCGCACCTGTCGTTTCTTTCCTTCATTTACTGAGTTACAGCTCTCCAGTGTGGGCTGCACCTTGGGCTTATGGCTGAGACCAAGACAGCCTTCGTCCTTGCCACTAGCGAATGCACAGTATGGCAGTTGGGACAGGGACAGAAAAACAAATAGGGAAGAATCACTCATGAGGCGAATGGGAGGCTCTCAGTTTAGGCGATGGTTGGGAAGAGGCCCACAGAGAAGTGCTACTTAAATCAAAACCTAAAGAACGGGAGGAAGCCTTGCCATTTGCAGAGCTAAGGAGAGGCATGGTAGCACGTGCAACCTAGGGCAGGGAAGAACTCTGTGTTTTCATCGTTCTGTTCGGCTCATCGGCTGCATTCATCCTGTCGTCCAGCTAGCTCCCTTTACGACTCATCTGCTGGCCCGTGACCAAGATGGTCACCTTAGGCTCTGTGATCTCCTAGCTTAGCTCAAGGCTATCCTGGTGTCCTGATTTTGCTTCCTGGGAGCAGAGCTTGCTTGACCTAGCTAGGTGTGACCCAGGTCCAGTTAGATGGGGGTTATCCCGATTCCAGCATAATCATTGAGGTTGAGTCAGCAAACCACAGCCCGTGGGCCATATCTGTCTGTTTCCTGTTTTCATGCATGAAGTTTTATTGTCATGCATCCACACCCATTTCTGTAACTGCATTTGCACTATAGCAGAGGGGTTTGAAGCCCTATGACAGAAACTGCCTGGCATGCAAAGCCCGGACTGCTTACTCTGTGGCTTTTTTGCCAACCCGTAACCTGGGCCACCTCTTTCAGTAGGTGCCACGAGTGAGGGAAGATCCTCTTCAGAAAGGACTCTTTCAGGGAGGCAGTGACTGGCTTTCCCAGGATATTAAAAAAACTGGAAATCACCTAAATGTCCAAGAACTGGGGAAGAGTCCAGTAACCAAAAGGACACCCATATGAGCAGCTGTCGAGGCTTCATCGCTGATGAGGTGCTGCAAGTTCTGTCTACACAGGGGAGTGTTTCGAAAGCAAAGAAAGCTGGATGTCACTTACATGTGCACTCCGGCCTCGGCTGTGGTTTGCATGCAGTAAGCGCTGAATAAATGCCCAAAGTCTGTGGAGAAAACACTTCCACCCAGGGAGTTGGAAGGATCTGCTCCAGGCTGTCCACAGAGGTGACCATGCTCGGATTGCTGAGGAGATTAACAGGGCCTGAGGGGATGGCTTGCAGTTCCCCTGTACCCACTTTTATATTGCTTGAGCTGCGCTACTTGGGAAATTTTTTAAAAAGTCATGAAAAACTTGAAATATGGAGAGAAACGTGCCTGAGTGTTTAGGGGGACCAAGTATTGATATCTGCAACTTAACTATGAAGCATATAAAAAATAAGGTAGACAGATAATTGGGTAGGTACACTGTAAGGCAAAGTTATTTATTTATTATTTATTTGAGAGCGAGGAGGGGAGAGAGCATTAGCAGGGGGAGGAGCAGAAGGAGAAGCAGACTCCCTGCTGAGCAGGGAGCCCAATGCAGGACTCGATCCCAGAACCCTGGGATCATAACCTGAGCCGAAGGCAGATGCTTAACCGACTGAGCCACCCAGGCGCCCCAAGCTTTTTGTTGTTGTTGTTGTTGTTGTTGAATTTGAGAGTGAGAGAGTGTGCGTGCAGGGGGAGGGGCAGAAGGAAAGGGAGAGAGAGAATCCCAAGCAGACTCCCTGCTGAGCCCAGAGCTTGATGTGGGGCTTGATCCCACCATCCTGAGATCATGACCTGAGCCGAAATCAAGAGTCGGAGGTTCAACTGACTGAGCCACCCAGGCCCCCATGTAAAGCAAAGTGTTAATTGTAGAATGGAGGTGGTGTATATGCGGGGGTTCACTGAACTGTTCTTTTAACTGTTCTGTATGTTAAAATCTTCATAATAAAATACTGGGTGGGAAGATACGGAGAAAATGAGGGTGTGAAATCATGGAGCAAGATTAATAAGTAAAAAAGTGGCAGTCAGTCTTCACAATTCAGTATTTTGTAGTATATTCATGGGGTTGTGAAACCACCACCACAATGCAGTTCTAGAACGTTTTCATCACCCCAAAGGGAAACCTCATACCCATGAAGCAGTGACTGCCTCCTCTTCCCTCCAGCCTCTGGTAACCACTTACCTACTTTCTGTCATTATGGATTTGCTAGTTCTGGATATTTCCTGTAAACGGAATCGTAAAAATATATGGCCCCTTTTGTGTCCTGCTTCTTTCATGCAGCGTGATGTCTTAAAGGTTCCAGCATGTTGTAGTGTGTGTCAGCACTGCATTCCTTTCTGTGCCTGAAGAATAGTCCATTGTATGTCTTTACCACAGCTTGTTTATCTACTCATCAGTTGATGGCTATCTGGAATGTTTCCATTTTTGGCCTGTTTATGAAGATTGCTGACACAAACACTGGTGTTCGAGTTTTTTTTTTTTTTTTAAAGATTTTATTTATTTATTCATGAGAGACAGAGAGAGGGGCAGAGGCAGAGGAAGAATCAGGCTCCCCGCGGAGCAGGGAGCCCAATGTGGGTCTCGATCCCAGGACCCTGGGATCATGACCTGAGCCGAAGGCAGACGCTTAACTGACTGAGCCACCCAGGTGTCCCGATGTTTGAGTTTTTGTGTAGACACACTTAAGTTTTCGGTTCTCTCTGGTATATACGCAGGAGTGAAATTGCTGGGTCATATGGTAACTCTATATTTATCCGTTTGAGGTTCTCCCAGACTATTTTTTAAAAGTAGCTGCAGCAGTTTGCCTTCCCACCAGTAGTGTATGATGGTTCCAATTTCCCCCACGTCCTTGCCAACGCTTGTTATTGTCAGTCTTTTTGATTAGAGCCATCCTAGTGGATGTGAAGGTTGATTAGCATTTCCCCAATGGTTAGTGACATTGAGCTTCTTTTCATGTGCTTCTTGGTCATTTGTATGTTTTCTTTGGAAAAATGTCTGTTTAGGTCCTTTGTCCAGTTTTTAATTGGGTAATAACTAAGTTATAAGAGTTCTTTTTAGTCTAGAAACCAGTCCCTTATCAGATACATGATTTTCAAGTATTTTCTCCCGTTCTCTCTGTTTTCTTTTCACCTTCTCGATGGTGTCCTTTGAAGCACAAAAAAATTTAATTTTGATAAAGTCCAGTCTATCTATTTCTCCTTTTGTTGCTTGTGTTTTTTGTGTTGTAGCTAAAAATCATTGCCCAACCCAAGGTCACGACGATTTAGGCCTAAGTTTTCTTTCTTTCTTTCTTTCTTTCTTTCTTTTTTTTAAATTTATTTAATTGACAGAGACACAGCGAGAGAGGAAACACAAGCAGGGGGAGTGGGAGAGGGAGAAGCAGGCTTCCTGCCGGGCAGGGAGCCCGATGTGGGGCTCGATCCCAGGACCCTGGGATCATGACCTTAGCCGAAGGCAGTCGCTTAACCAACTGAGCCACCCAGGTGCCTCCTAAGTTTTAAGAGTTTTATAGTTTTAATTTTAATAGTTAGGCCTATTATCCACTTTGAGGTAAATTTTGCGTATAGTGTGAGGTAGGGATCCAACTTCATTCTTTTCATGTGGTGATCCTGCACCATCTGTTCTTTTTTCAAAAAGCCTTTTTTATCTTGGAAAGAGTTTAGGTTTATAGAAATGTTGCAAAGATAACAGAGTTCCCATATATATATCTTTTTAACAGTTCTATGGTTTTCCCCTGTAGACCTCTGTCATAACTACATCTCCGTTCTCAACTTCGTGGGTTTTTATACACTTTCCAGGCCTTTCCCATTCAGATTCTCTTCAATGAACAGAGTTAACTGTAATCATCTGTATCATTGACTTGCAGTAATAAAGAATGGGCTGAAATAAAATGTTACAGATTCTGATGAAGCAGATACTTTCTTAAATAGCTCTTTTCTTTTTAAAATGTACTGTTTGGGGGTTGCCCAGGTAGCTCAGTCAGTTAAGTGTCTGAGTCTTGCTGTCAGCTCAGGTCTTGATCTCAGGGTCATGAGTTCAAGCCCTGCATTGGGCTCCATGCTGGGCGTGGAGCCTACTTAAAAAAATAAAATAAATAAAATGTACTGTTCGGTAGCATTAAGTATATTCATGTTGTGTAACAGAAGAGTTACTTATAAAGCCATAAATAATATAAAATAATCTTAGTAACAGAAAATATTTTCTGAAAGTGTTTTCCAAGCTATATAGCTTTACATCCTTCTCATCCTCACGGACATCTCTGCCCTCTTACTTTTCCAGGCTGTTTGGCTCCTGAGCCCCAGATACACACCTTCCTGGGAACCAGGAACCAGGAACCACCTTCCCAGATGCCGAGTCTCCCTTTCTCCGTTCCTGACGACTTCAAGAATGGTTTTGACTGGAAAACAAGCGACCTTCCCAGAAAGCCCAAGTTTTTGGTGGGTGGAAAAAATGTTCGCCAAGCTGCACACGGCTTCCCAGCCACGTCATTGTTTTCTTTTCAAAGATACTTTCGTATTGGTTTCTGCGTTGAAATGCTGTCTACTTAAGGAGTTTTAGGAGGGTTTATGGAAGGGATGTGATAACATTGCATTCCCCGCAGATAAAAGAACGTTGTGTAGATTGTTTTTTTAGATTGGAATTCCTCTTCTAGCAAGCTTCTACTAGAAACTCGTTTCTGGATATTTCTTGGTTTATTTTTAATAACCCTCCTTTTTGGTTCAAATATTACCGATTTTTCAAAATAATTTTTATCCAGGGATCTGAAACAGAAAGGTGCGCTTTTAAGATTGATATAGCCTCTTTATTGGACTGTGTTTAGAAATAACAAGTTCATTGTTGCTGGGCCTGTGTCCAAATTCCTTTCCTGTCTCGATGGGCTCTGCTCGGCCACTCGGTGCCTCTGAGGTCATCCCCAGGACTTTAAGGGTGAAGCCTTACTGATTGCCGTGGCAGAGGGGTACAGAACAGTTGGCAAGGGCAGATGTGGGTGTTATGAGAAATTTTGCCCTGTCTTGCAGCCTTCTGTTAAAGTAACCCTGGGGGCCATTAAATGTATAGTTTCAAGAATGAGAGTGACTTACATGGTGATACTGGGACCCAGTTCTGAAAGCTTGGAATTTTGGGTCTTCTTTTCAAGTGGGTGATTTCAAGGTTGAAAAGCAGTGAGCCTCATTCAAGGAAATACAGCATTTTGCATAGAATCTTCTTTGAAAGGCAGGTCCTTTATCGCCAAAATGAAATGCCAGTGGTCGACACCCAGGTCCTACAGGTGTTTGATCTGTTAGTTGTGGGTTTTGAATTCCTGATTTGGAGGTAAACCTGGTGGGAGGAAAAAGTAAATATGCAGACTTTTCAGAACTAAGTAGCACTGAAAATAAAGCTCATTTCTAAAAAGGATCTTTTGTTTATACATTTTTTTAACCAAGAAGTTAGCTGACTTCCAACTGGAGTGGTTTTGAATTACACTGTGGGAAACACCGAGGATTCATTTTGGAGGCTGTCAAAAAGAAGAGAGGCAGTGTTAGCTTTCCCGTTTTGGATTATCCTTAATACATGTCAGGCCGGAATTGGGCAAATGGGCTTTTGACCTGGCTGCTTTGGGAAGTATTGAAAGAGCCAGGGAGAATATTGAGGTTTTGCTAGACCAGGGTCAAATCCACTTTTACTGCTGCTTAGCTGACGTCATTCTTCTTCACTGCTTCTATAATTTATTCCCTTGTCAAACCCAGGCCTATAGTTTGTCAGTAGCTGGGAACGTAGCTGCTGAGTTGAGCTTCGCGCAGGCCTGTGTCCTTGTCAGCAAGAACAGACGTGCGGAGATCTTGTTTAGTCACTCCTCAAGCCATGTCAATGGTTCGAGGAAACCTCGCTGCCTTATTCAGACTGGTGCTGAGGTTTCAATGAGGCAAGGCATTCATACGTTATGGGGATGAATCATGCTCTGAGAAGAGAATGCTGTCATTGAGATTTTGTTTCAATAGTTGTATTTTTTTCCAGAGAACTATTACCTCATTGTTAAACTCTCTGCAAACAATGTAGCTTCGGAGGTTGCTGTCCATTTTAAAAGTTGCATCTCACCGATGTGCATCTTTTGGAAGCTTTTCAAGAACCCTCATTAACATCAAAGGTTATCGAAGTTTGAGTTTTGGGTGCCTAGGGTTCCCCAGCATTTAAGCGCTCATGTTCTGGGCCAGTGGGTTCAAGTCCTGTCTCTGCTCCTTGCCAGTGGGACCTTGGCTTCTTGCTTCTCCACTCCCTGCCTCAGTTTCCAGTTGCCAAAATGGGTCTGGAAGTCCCACCTGCCTGGGGTTGTTGTGAGGCTCAGCATGCTCAAATGTGGGCCTAGTGCTTGACCGAGTGCTCAAACCTGGGTGTGCTCACTGCTAGCATCTTCTGTACTCTCGCCTGTGTTCGTGCGTGTGGTCTGCACACACACCGTGAAAGAGAGACGTTTAAAAACATTAGAAACAGGGGCGCCTGGGTGGCTCAGTTGTTAAGTGTCTGCCTTCGGCTCAGGTCATGATCCCGGGGTCCTGGGATCGAGTCCCGCATCAGGCTCCCCGCTCAGCGGGAAGTCTGCTTCTCCCTCTCCCACTCCCCCCGCTTGTGTTCCCTCTCTCGCTGTGTCTCTCTCTGTCAAATAAATAAATAAAATCTTTAAAAAAAAAAAATGCACGTATGCAGAAAAAGGAAACTAACAAAAAAAATCTCATTTAAAAACAAAAACAAAAACATTAGAAACAGTTTTCCAGCATGGAAAACCCTTTCCCGCCTTCCTCTTTCCTTTCTAGCATTTTCCTTATACATATCAGTACACAGGCATACCTTGGAGATACTGCAGGTCCAGGTCCAGACCGCCCCACTAAAGCAAATATTGCAATAAAGCAAGTTGAAGGAGTATTTCGGCTTCCGGGCGCATATAAAAGTTACGTTTACCCTGTATTGTGGAAGTGGGCCGTAGCATCACGTCTAAAAAACTGGTGTGCGTGCCTTAATTAAAAAATACTTGATCGCCAACAAATGCTAGTCGTCATCTGAGCTTTCAGTGAGTCAGAATCCCCGATCACAGATCGCCAAAGCAAATACAGTAATGATGACAGTTTGAAATATGGTGAGAATTACCGAAACGTGACACAGAGACACGAAGCGATCAGACGCTGTTGGGAAAATGGCGCCAAGATACTGGTTTTGCCGCAAACCTTGGGTTACTAGAAAACACGATGTCTGCAGAGGGCAGTCAAATGAGGTCTGCCTGGATGTGACATAGTTCAATCATGGTTAAGGTGGCTTAGGTTCTACTGTGTTCATTTTGGCAGCATTTCCTTCATATCTTCCAGGCTGCCAGACAGGCTTCGTGGTGTTGGGTTTTAATTACCGCGCTGTGTCAGTAGATCTTTCTTTAACCTTGGCCCTCTTGCTGGTCCTCTCGTGTGTGCTTGGAACTTGTACTTTGCCCAGTGTTATAAATGCCACTGCGATCCCCATTGTTGTGACCTTTGTTGGCTTCCTTCACTGGTGCTTCTGCAGAACCTAGGAAGGCCACGTTGGTATGTACCATCATTGCAACTTCAGTGGCTTTTCTTTGTTTTGTTTTCAAGTTCCTTACTGCCAGTGCATGTTCATTGTAGAAAAATCATAAAATATAGCTTTGCTCTAAGGGATAAAACCAATAATCACCTTTGCTCAGTGTCACTCAAGGTACACATCTTTCTGGCTTGTTCTCTCTGCACTTGCATCGGGTATGGTGGACATGTTTTCGTTACGTAAATTATATCTCTGTGTCTTCTAGCCTGTTTTTCTCATCTGAGAATACATTTCCATATTTTCCCTACAATTACCGTTGTTGATAACATGATAATGATGTGCCATAATTACTTCAACTCATCCCCAGCTGATGGAGACTTGAGTTGTCTTGAGTTTTTGTCTATTATAAATATCGCTGTGATGAACATCTCAGTATGTCATCCCTAATGAATTTTTGGAGTCACTTTTTTTTTTAAGATTTTTTTTTTTTAAGATTTTTTAAATTTATTTGACAGAGAGATAGTGAGAGCAGGAACATAAGCAGGGGGAGTGGGAGAGGGAGAAGCAGGCCTCCCGCCAAGCAGGGAGCCTCATGCAGGGCCGATCCCATGACCCGAGCTGAAGGCAGATGCCTAACGACTGAGCCACCCAGGTGCCCTTTTTAAAAGATTTTACTTATCTATTTGAGAGAGAGCGCATGCACACACAAGTGTGGCGAGGGGCAGAGGGGAGGGAGAAGCAGACTCACCACTGAGCATGGGGCCCTGATGTATGGCTTGATCCCAGGGCCCCAAGATCACGACCTGAGCCCAAATTAGATTCTTAACCAACTGAACCACCCTGGCACCCCTTGGGGTCACTTTTAAAGAGATCCATCTTGACAGCTTTGGGCTAAGAATTCTAAAGAAAAATGCATCTTGGACGACTTGCATCTTTGTTCATTTGTTCATACATATGTATGTTCATATGTACAAGAACTGGGTTCTAGATCCCCATCAGCTTTGACCAGGAGTGGTATTAGGCTACTTCAGTTTGCTTAACCTGTTAATAAGGCCGAGAATTTCAGGCTCCAACCAGATAACTGTTTTATTGTGCAAGCAACTGCAGTTGACATCACGCCAGTCGGCTTTCCACCTTGGTCCTGATGGTTAGGGACCTCAACCACCATCTGAGTACTAAATGCCAACTACTGCTTGCCCGGACCATGTTACGTGGAGTCACCGCCAAGCTGAGAAGCTGCACGTTGAGAATGAAAACAAGGCCACAGTTTGCAGCACCTGCCCTTTGGGATTCATGTTGGAAACTCCCTTTCCCTTCCTCCACTTTGGCATTTCAAGAGGTGGAACATGTCCCTCCTTTGGTGGGTTTCTCATTGCACTTCAGTTCCAGCTATTCTAGAGCAAAAGTCAGAAACTATGGTTCCCAGGCAGAGGCTGGCCTGCCACCTGTTTTTGTAAATAAAGTTTTATTGGCACCCAGCCACGCCCCTTCGAATATGTATCATCTAAGCCTGCTTTAGTTGCTTTCCTGCTATAATGGCAGTGTTGTGACGGAGACCATCTGGCCCACGGAGCTGAAAATGCTGTCTTTCTGGCCCATTTATGTGATGCGTTTGCTAACCCCTGAGCTAGGGGACGATAGAGAATCTCGAGGTGTCCTTTCTCTCTCCAAAGCCACTCAAGTGGAGTCATCTGCACACCTTGTGGTCTAGATTTTAATAAACACATTGGAATTTGCTGAAAATTGAGCCAGCTGTTTTCAAGCGTGAGCTTAATAGACCAAAATGTAATTTTATTTCTCTTGATGGTTAGGGGAGAGATCCCTTCTGGGCTGCCTGTGATTCTCCCGAGCGGGAGTTCCTCTGCATCAGCAGCACAATGTGATAGTGAGATCGGCTCTCCTCTGAATGGTTAGATTTGAAAAGCCAGCGAGGCTGTCATTAGTGAGGCATTTTCTTTTCATTTCAACTGTTTCATTATCTCCTTCTTAACCACATTTGTGTTTATGAGATATTTGACAAACCTCCCGATGTTTTCCTGTGTTGATGAAAGATGTACGCTGTTTGTGTATAAAGCAAAAGGCCTGGTCTTTTTAAAAGGAAGATGTAAATTCTACTTGGGGGGTTGTTTTCATCATTCCCTTGATTTCCATTATTGCACAGAGAAAAGTACTTGATCCGCTTTGAGCCCCTCTCTGAGAGTTGCTGGAAATGAGAGTTTGATAATAGTGAGCATTCCTGCATGGGAAATTGGGCAGAGGGGTCTAGAGCAAGTTAGAAATTCAAAGTCCACATTTTTCAATTAGAAAACAGTAAGAACTAGTTCAGAGTATGGCTCTGTGGTTTTCCTTTTGACCAGTGGGTGGTTTTGGATCAGACGAGGGGTCAACAAACTGCTGCCCACATCTGGCTTGCCACCTGTTTTCATGGTCCACAAGATGGAATGGTTTTCCCATTTTTAAATGGTTGAAAAAGGATCAAGAAGAAAAAGGAAATTCCAGTTTCTTTGTCCATAAATAAAGTTTTATTGGAACGCTGCCACACCCTTTCATTTACGTATTATCAGTGGCCGCTTTTGAGCTGCAAGGACACAATTGAATCCTTGCGACAGAGACCATCTGGCCCACAAAACTAAACATATTTACTGTCTGACTCTACAGAACGGTTTGCTGACCCCTAGACTGGACAGTATTTTTTTTTTTTTAAGACATCGGGTGGATCCTGTTCATCTGTATTTAGTTCACATTATTGTTGCAGCTGTTAGTGATCAATGTGGGCATGAGGGTATTGGAGTATGCTGGGGGAGTTGCAGAAGTTATTTTAAGGGGAATAAAGCTTTGGTGCACTTAATTAGAGTTTACTGTGTGAATCAGAG